GTGAAGAACTAGACCTGCCAAAAGTCCAGTAGAGTCTGCCCTCAGAATCCTGTCCCATGTATTTCTTCCTAACAGAAACCTCCTGAAGTTCTAATTCTTTGGCAGCAATTGAGTCCTCCAAAGCACGAATCTCATTCTTCAGAGCGGATATCTCAAGAAGGTACGCTTGGGCCAAATTTGGGTCAGCTTGTATGGAACACTGACGGCTATATTTTGTAGTAGGTGTGTGCTCAACCATATGGTTGCTGATGGAGCCTGACAAAGTATTGCCAGACACAAAGTGAGCAGCAGACGGCACCAGACCGTTTGAACTATTTTGTGCCGACTCCAAACAATTGCCGGGAATTTGGTCATTTTCTTGTTGGGGGGTAGAAATGAACAAGTCATTTTGCAAACTAGCTTCAGTGGCACCACATTTTGCATGGGAAGAAGTATTCTTAGACCCAGTATTCTCCTTCAAAGACTGCTGTTGATGTAAATGGTTGATCAAATCAGGAGAGTTTCTAATTTGATTGCTGCCGCTTGCAGAAGTTTTGTCCTGAATACTTTTTGAGCTGTACAAGCAGGGTTGTTTGCTGTAATCATTACACTCATTTTGTTGAGTGCCATTATCCAGCTGTTTGCAACCACCAGAGATCGACGAGTTATGGCTGCCACTGTCAGGCTCCTGCACCTTCAGTTTACAGTCATTGGACCGTAGAGACGCTAATGCGTCTGATCCTGTGTCTCCACTGTTCCGAGCATTACTACTCAGTTTTGCAAGGCTTGCAGTCAAAATTTCGTGCCTGCATTTTAGAAGGTTCAGTTCAGCACTGAGGCTACGCAGTTTCTGCTGCAACTCAGCCGACAGAGAGGCACTTTGGTCAATGTGATCACGAAGAATGGCTGAATTCAGCACCTCATCACACAAGAATTTAAGAAGGAAAATTCTCTGCATCATTGAGAAAGAAATTGTACATGTCAAATTAGATTAGGAAAAGCTGCACATAATTCATGTACTACTTCGTTGTTAGGCTTAGTACGCAATCCTAGAATTTAAGAAAATATTCATGCACGAGGCACAGTTCTCATCACACAGATAATTTAGAAGACTAGCATTTGCAATTCATCAAGTGAAAATTGAACATTAAACATGTATGTACGTACAAAGCTCAGTGGTCTAAGCAGATCAGAAGAGGCTAGGGAAGAACCTAAAGCAACTGGGAACAAAACAGGAGTGGCGAAGGACAAGCATGCATTTGGTGCGACTTACATTGAAAATGAAGACTGCAAGGGAAATCATTTATTTAGTAGCCCTCCCCTCCCCCAAATCCCAAAAGCTGGATGCACGAGTGCCAGCAAGATTATGGAGAAGCTTTGAGCATACAGGAATAGCAGTGGAACAATGTTCCTAAAATTGTTCGATGGAGGCCTTTAAAGTTGTCCGAAGTATTAGTCGGTGGTCATTATGCGACAAAAGATTTTTACTCCGCAGATCTTACACTTACGACCTCTCAAATGGACACCATCACCTCTTTACACATATTAGCTTAACTTGCTATGTGGTGGAGACATCATTTAGGTTAAAGCCTTCTATCAGCATGGTACACATTCAAGAAACAGTGCAACCAAGCAAAATGTGAACAAGTTCCAGTGCTAACTGGACTTATGTAGACAAACCCATACAATTTTTTATGACACGTGAATTTCAGATATCTACAAATCCTTCAGCACTTGTTTAACAATTCCATGCATTTTCTCATGTTATACATATTTACCGAGTGAAATTTCAACTGTCGAATACATTTTGAAACAAACTCCAATAATTACTTTAAGAAATTCTTCTACCACTACCAATATAATCTACGAGTCAATTTAACTCGGAAGACGTCTCAGAAACAAAAAGGAAGACATGCGAGACAAATGCTAATCCTTTCAAGGATCAAGCAATAATATTATTTCATACATCTTCCAACTGCAAACAGTAACATAAACCTAACATTATGATATCAACATAGAAATACCGAAGAAAGTAGAAGAACATACATCCTCCAGAGAAAGCTCCCAATATTCCTTCAACTCCATGGTTCTCGATAATTGAGAAAGTTCCTCCATAAACTTGTGAGTTAGTTTCCTGTGCAACCTCCTTTTAACGCATTGACGAAGAATCTGAAAACCTGAAGCATTCCGGGACTGTGATTCCTTAGTTTCACAAGATGGGCAATACCACTCCCCATCAGGAACTTTAATAAGCGGAGGATCTAAGCAATATGTATGGTACTCCGAATCACAACCATCACAAAGAAGAACATTGACATCATCTTTATCCATGCCACATACTTTGCAGAGTCCTTCCTCCCAAGGAGCTTTAGGAAGTAAGCTCTCATTCACATGAGCGAGGAGTTCATCTCTCACTTTTGCATCTTCACTGCTTAAACTACCGTCATTTGAACACTCAATTTTCTGGATTAAGGGAAGAACCTGGGAGAAATGAGCAAGCCAAAGCTTAGTTAAACAACAAGAATGACAACACGCCTACTAGTATAACCAAAGAAGAGGCTGAATCACACACTCAATGGAGCAAGGCTCAACTGCTCAACCAAAATAATAGGTCATAGAAAAGCTGCACTGCATTGGATAACTTTCAAAATCAAATATCCCCAAAAACAATCTCATATTCCATAGGTTTTTGAATCAAAGCACAGAAAAAGCAAATGGACCAACTCTAGTACCATATGGCTCATCTTTTGCAGCTTGTTGAGCAATCTCAAGAAACATTAATCATTCATGCTAGGATATAAAGAAGACTAGTGAGAGGATCTTAACATATCGGGGACTTCCTCAACTGCCTTTCCTTTCAAACTGAACTACCACGACACTTTCTAACCGCATCAGATTCTTAGGATAAAAGAAGACTAGCTCTTGGAGCGGATTCCTTCCCTAAACTAAAGATTTGAATTACCTTCAGCCAATATCATTTCGCTTTTTATTTAATGGGAACAAACATCATGCTTCTATAAAAGAAAACAAACATTAAAAAAAGTAAGGCAAAGTGATTCCTTACTGTGGCTTAAAATAATAGGATAACACAAGCCCAAGGAAAGGCTAGAAGACCAACAAACCTCATTTTCATAATCTTCCTCGAATTTCAGCAACAAGGATCCGGCTAACTCAAGCAAATTGGACTTGTTGCAGTATGCAGTCCGTATATTATGCCAAACCTAAAAGAAGCAAAGAATAAGCAATTTTGAACTTTTCTCCTCATTAAATCAAACATATTGAAGGAAAAAGAAAAGGATTGAACGAAAATTTGTAGAAACACTTGGGCTAATCATGCATCTTTCTAAGTAAAATGATCCAGCAAATCCCAGACATCAAAGAACATAGATGCCAACAATTACACAAAATTTCAAACTGCAACTAATATCTTATTTATGAAACCAGAATTGGATCTTCATATTATCCTTAATGCATCATTGAGACCACATATACATGTTAAAAGCATTACCTCCCGCACATCATCGATGAAAGATTCATGTGATCCCCCATAGGATCCAGCAGCCAACTTTAGATCAATGGTCCTGAAGTCTAAAGGCCGAGATACCATTGCCGGATGCCCAAGAAGCCCTTCATCGTCATTATCATTAGGGTTCAGAACTGTTCTCCCCAAAAGATTGCAGAAGACTTTATCTTTATCTTCTTTAACAGCTCGCCGTAGTATAATCCGACATTGTTTCATAATGATATCAGACACAGAGCTAGCACTCTTTACCTTTTCTTCCTTCTCAGGTTTGGGCGAAGTATTTTCGCGGTTAACATCAGCCAGGACAGAAATTACTGCTCTCTGCATTCAGTTAATATTGATTAAAAAAAATAAGTCGTTTAACAAAGCTGACACATTCAGTATATATTCAAGATATTCATCATGCAGCACCTTCGTTGGCCCTGATGCATTTCCCTTGTAAACTTCCTTACTGATAGAGTGCACCAATATTTTTCTTGCCCATTCAGGTGGATCTTTTTCCAAAGCCTCATTGATACATTTTCTAATTCGAGCCCCGACATTTGTAGGTAGCTTCCTTACTGGCTCCAGCGCCTTCGCCCACTCTGGGACTTTTCCATCATCAGCATCAGCTCCTTTGGCATCAGACTCTTTCTCATCAGTAGCAACAAAAATGCTACCACTCTTAAGTGATCCAAATATTTTCTTTGTAGCCTCTGCAAGAAGCTGAAATCACGCACTTCAGAATATCTTAATTTTGACAGACCTCAGATAATAGGAGAAGCAAGTGTATTTAGTAAAGAAGAGACAGCACAGCCAAATGGGCTCAAAAATGGACACAACAAATGCACTCTTCAAGTAGGGTATGAAACACAAAGCAGGTATGACAAGAACAAACGCATCAATTTAACATTGGCAAGAAGCTTAAACTATTAAGTTGACTGTAGTAAACTCTCAAGACAAGGTAAAAGTGGAGAGCAGAAACAACTTTTGAGAGATCTACTCTTTACAGTTTTTCCATATAGATTAAAGTACCAACAGAATGTAGAAAAAGAACTCAACTAAAGGATATATGTATTAACAACACTTCTAAAAGATTTATAAATCAATAGTATGCAACAGTTCAAGTTACAGATCACAACCGAAAAACAAACATTTGTAGAGGATATTATTGGCACACTACTGTTTCCCATACACTTTGGAACAAATATGATTAACTGATATTGATGATTGGATGCTCTATCCGGAGAATCACGTTTTCCCACGTCTTTTTTTTTCTGTAGGACTCTATACTTTCTGTATGCACCTTGTATGTGGGTGATTTTCCCCAACACTTCAATCAACTATCAATATTTCTTTGCTATGCACACTTCAATAAACTATCATAGACAATACCTTCAGTATAGAGAATGAGAATGCTACAGCCTACATGCGACAGGCGTAAACTTTAGCATTGCGGCTTAAAAGAGACATATTCTCATCTAATATGGTAACTACATCATGCCAAAGATTGCACCAAATAGAAAGAATCCACTTCACAGAATGAGCTTATATTTGTTATTAACTTGTTAAACATGTAATAGCAATGCACATGAAATGGTAGATGTTTCTGACATACTTGCATGTTCTTAATGCACCATAATCAACTACTACTTCCACCTTTTTTGGGGGGGAACTTGGTTACTGTTTAGTGAGTCAAACAGATTCTTCTTTGACCAAGCTTTTTAATAACTTGAAATATTTTGTAATTCTAAACTGGTGGTTAGTAGTATTTCTCATTAAGTTTTCCAAGTTAAGATGTTTTTATTTTTGAAAAGTTAATTACTTGATGTCCTTCACAAGTAAAAAAACTGACACCCTAAACACTTAAAGACTGACTTATGTTGGATTTCGCCTCAAAAAATAGTTCATTTGCATTTTTAAAAAAATTACTTGCATCTTGAGATTCTGATAAGTCCAAAATATGGGCCTTAATCTTATCATGTGAAATCAGTTAGAGATTTTGGCAACACATGCCATAGCATCATCGAGAAATGTGATGGAAGATAAATTACTTTGATGACATGAAAACTAGGAAAAAAACAGCAAAAAGTTCTTATTTAAATTTCAGTTGTCAAAAACTTTAGCTCATCAAATCAAGAGAGGAACCATGTGCTATAACAAACAGCACATGAATCGATCTTACCATTGCATCAGCCTCTAATGCAGCAACTCCCGTAAGAGAGCCACAAAGTATCCCACCATCACCTTGTAAGCAATGGAAAACCTTCCCACTCTCTCGGCAAGCAATTTCTGCAGACTCAAGGTTAACTTCCATGGATAACAACGCTAACATGTACCTCCTAGCAATTTCAGGCCATGTAATTTCATTAATGGGAAGCATATCAAGTCTAGTTTTCTTAAGACTGGCTAAATTGTCAACATCTTTTTTCCGGCCTCTTTTAGATTTGAATCCTCCTGCACCGAAATTCGGATCTACATAGACAGCAACTTTTGAGAGCAGCTCGGTGACAAGAGCTTTGAGCAGTAGACCATGAAGTTTTGCCAAAAGAAGACCAGTAAATCGGCTATATTGATGAAAACCCAATCTACCAGACAGAGAGTCCATTTCACCTCTTAATAAGGTGATCTCTCTGACATCCTGGATCTCAAATCCAGGCATTTCCATTGAACTTGTTTTGTCTATCCATGGACTAACTAATTCCTCCTCAATTTCTTCAAATGAAAATGGAGCTTCCAGCCCCAAGACCTCTGAAAACCTCAACAAGAATTCCCAAACCTAAACACATTTGATTTTGAAAAAACAAATAAAAAGATAGTAAGTATATGGGAATATCCAATTCTTTGTAGACAACAAACTCGAAAGTCTCAAAATACCTGGAGCGCGTCACCTATCAAAAATTTTGGAATCTTTGCGCTAAATGGCTTTCCTGAAGGACAAGGACCTCTGATGTCAGAGTCTTCCAGATGCTTTTTGAGTGTTCCAGAAATTCTGAAAGATTCAACAGCTTCCGTCTCATCCTGCATGTGATTCTTTCTTTTAGCCTGCAGGAACCCACTTCCCACTGTCTGCAGAGTTGTGTTGTGCTTTCTTTTAGTAATAATTCTATAATTTGAGCATGCAGATACACCAGGAAGCTGTTCAATAATTTCTTGCACAAAGTCTGCCTCTAGTCCAAATCTGTCTTGCTCCAACCACTTCACTAACATTTCACAAGCAATTTTAAACTCAAAGTTGCTCTGCACTAATCTTGGGAAATTGAAGGGACCACCTAAGTAAGAGAACTTGGATAATGAACCAATTTCACTCGGCTCTTTTTCATCCATTTTATATACATCATGACTACAGCAGAATTGAATTACACCTTTTTGCTTATAAGCATCAATGCATGCATGTAGAAGAGTCTGGGAAACCATTTCCCACACAGATGATGATGATCTCCCTTCCACAAGAAATTCCCCTACACTATCCCCTTGACCAATAATACCAGGACATATATTTCCGAAGTTTCCAGGTAATGAATTCACCCTCTGCAGATTCTCAGCGGCATGAGTTTCATTATTCAGATCTGGTGGGCTGCATTCTTCCAGCATCACCTGGATTGAAATACTCTCCTCATCAACCAGCCTAGAAGTTGCTGAATTACCATTTCCCACATTATCTTCACCAATATGAGAATCCCCTTTAGATGTTAAAAGGACCGTTGAACCAATTGGGATAGACTGCAGGGTGCATGGGTACCTCCTGACCTTGAAAACTGGGCCAGGATCACCTCCATCTGCAACCTCACAAACAAAAAAAGATCCTGTAATTCTATCGTGCCAGCTAGATAAGTAACCCACAGGCCATATCTCGCTAGTGCTGTGATATGATGGTCGGGGGTCAATATTTCCAGCTGAAATAAGAAAGAAGTCCTGAAACTGAACTGGAAAGACATCCTGAAAGAACAGTCAAATGTTAATCAGTAATATTGCCAAGTACTTAAGACAGAACAAACTAACTGATTCTTCCAGCTATAAGGAGATTAGAATTGCAAAAACTAGAAGGGCAATATAAACCAAATAAGTAATAGGATGAACATACACTTGGATATATACACTTGAAGATAGAGCCACCATTACGGAAGAAGCTGCTCCCAGGAGAACTCCGACTCTGTCCACTCTTGCGAACTTTAGTAGAACCTGAAGCTTCTTTACTCCTTGGGATATTTGATAATCCCTCATGAACAAAAGTAAATCCATTACCTCCATTCTCAACCTCCATGGAGTGATCCAACCCCAAATGTCGAGCAACACCATCAAGTAACTCAAAGGGACTTCCATCTGGTCCAACATATACTGCATATGTCTTGCATCTTTTGTCGCAATACTTAAAATCGACATGCCAACCATCACCTATAGAACCTCCCATCCCAGCAATATATTCTCTAAGGCCTTGAAGATAAACTTGACTCGCACTTTGGGGAACACAGTTCTTTGCAGTAAAATGACATGCCCGATACCTTGAATCATACATCAATACTGGATCAGTCATGCTTAGGTTTATTTGGTCAGAATGAGGTCTATGGAGTACTGCGTCCTCTATTTGTGACTTATGAATATCCCCTGTAAGAGAAGTCTTCTGAAAATTAAATCCATTCTCCCTATATACCAAAAAAGAGCTTGTTGGGGCATTGAAGGAATGGCCAGTAGAAAAGGAACTTTTCATAGCTTGAACTCTGTGAACACCAACAATATTCATAATATCAATTAAAATGTCCCAGTTACTCCTAAAGCAGCACGCCCAGGAAAAAAAATGAATTCAAAGCATTAGATAAACCTGCTCTACCGCATTTCGATATTATGAAAAATGACACTTAAATATCCAAATACATTACCAATCCAACTAGATTTAAGATAGGAAGATTAACGCAAACAGAAGTTAAATGTTACTTTATGCAGCCAAGTCATTAAAGTTGGAGAAAGAAGACAGAAGGAGTACATTTACATGATAAATAAAAAAAGAAGACAGAAGGAGTAGCGTCAAGGAAGACATTAACTTCTTCATGGTTTGGCAAAAATATCCGTGCAGAAAAAATCAATATTCTCTAAAACACAACTGAACCTCTTGGTAGTAAGAATAAAAGAATGGACCTGCTTGTGCCTCCATACAGCAAATCTG